GTAATTTTTTAATGATATGAAGTTCCCCGTCCTTTGAGCCTGCGTTTGACCTTGAAGGTTGACCTTGAGAGGTTAGAAATTTTTGACGGACACTAGCTGTTGCGCTTGTGAATATTTTGATGCACGCGGTTTTCAAATCGGTCCATAATTTTTGATCGATATCGAGTTCCCAGTCTTTTCGGACCCAGCTATCGACCTTGAATGTCACATGATGTTGCCAAATAAGGACCATTCTTGGTGTTCTGATGCCACAATTGACGTTCAGACTCTTTTTCAGAGAAATGGGAACTCGTCGCTGAAAAAAATCGCTGAATAAATCGCTAACTTCACGGACATGAAAATTGTTTGGTAGCCCAATGGCTCTTGATCATCTTGACTGTCCATGACAGAACAGCTTTGTAAATGCTTTTTGACGAAGTAATTTCCTATGGGAATACGTCAGCAGACAAAGTCATATCAGGTCAAGGTGTTAGAACTGAACTCCCTAATTTTCAGTGTCAAATGACAGGCGGCAACTTATGCCAGCCTGTTCGATAGTTAAGGGTTTCGAAAATGCCGTGACTTTACTCATATTGGAAGGAACGCCTTGGAAGGTGTGTGTGAGTTTGGGGGGGGGGGGGGCATGGCAATTGTGAAATCAATTTTCTGCGTGCATCGTCAAAAGATTAATGTTATACATGCCCAAAAAGTGAGGGAGGATCCTTTGCACCCCCCCCCCCCCCCCCCCGCTCCTACGGCCATGGCCTTACCGGCTTCTTCATCGCCATTGTAAGGCACGCGCCGCTTTGATTCGACACGGATAAGCCGATACCCTGTGGCGTCTGTCGGTGGATTGGTGTGCCCTCTTGTAATATATGTAACATTTATTTAGACAAGAAAGGTCTTAAGTTCCTGGCATTTCGACTTTGTGATTTCAGAGTTAATGCTGACTGTTATCGGCCTTTGAATATACCAGGAGGTACTGGTTAAACAACATTATCATGCAATGATGGTTATATTGTAAATACCCGATGTCTTAAGGTGCACTCATGCTCTCAAGTATCTATGTCAGTGTTTGACAATAAAATCAACGCTTGTTTTTATGACGCCGTTTAACCACAACTCTGTTGTGTAAGGGGGTCGATAACTGTCAGCATAAGAACCCCGAACTCACAATACAACGTGGGCCTTGACTGTCGTAGGTTTCTTTAGCCATGGGTGGAGAAAATGTGTTAGCTCTACTTGTTCTTCATGGTAAGGAAAGGACAGCTTTGTTTTGATGCGGCACTGATAGGCTTATCTTACATGACTTCCGATCGTGACCTGATGAGACCTATTATGCCTCAATAAATATAACTGGCAAACAGCCAGGCCGGCTGATGAATGATATTTAGATGGTCTGAAAGGAATTGTGACCACCATAGAATGTAGCCAATAGTTTCCAGCGATAGAGAGATAGATGAGTATTATAAAAAACTAATTCTTGTCAATATCAAACACATGGACGTAGCCATGGGAGTCAGGGCAAGGTGCCATGTCCCTTTGGAGCAACATGTTTATACTAGATGCCAGGAGATTTCGCACGAAGTTGGTCCAACTTCGCAGGATTTCCGAGGACAAGTATCATTTTCTTCCCGAAAAATTAAAATTTTGTCTACGTGCCTTGTCGAGCAGCTGAAATACTGCTACACTGACATTTTCTGCGATCGTGATACTATGAACAAAAACACCATCATATTAGGAAGTACCATAGCCGTGTGGTAGACTTTCTTACCGCTCATGGGTAAACCAGACCTTAAGTGAATTTTTCGTAGCATGAAGAAGCAAAGCTTGTCAAAAAGAAAGGCACGAACAGAAACTATGAGCCGTTATATGCAAAGGTGCACGTAGCCGTGAAAGCCTCCACTGTGGACGCCATCACGGTGTGTCTTGGTTTACCATCGAAATTATTTTTTTGGCAGAATATAATTAATCATCTGGCAGCATTGAGGGTTCGGTAAACCTGCATGAAATGGCTCTAAAGCTATTCTGGAAACGCAACACGGGAGGACTACTAAGCGATCGTGGTTTAAGGGGAGTGTTCCATATTTATATAAGGCTTTGAACTGAAAAAGCCATCTTGAAGGTCACTCGATGCAGTTCACAGCCCTGCCTTCTTAAAGACTTAAATCCCTCCACCTTCTAAGCTTCTCGCCCGCGCAAATGCATGGACAATTTCGTGCAGACTATTTCAAGGCCATCCAGGCATCTATAGCCTCATAATAAATTCATCCAAATTCTCCCATGCCATTGACCATGCGACGATCAAGGCAATGAAAATATAATTATCGAATTGTACACATATGACGTTCGTGAGCACGATTTCCAAACATAATGGCCGTCAATCGGCTCTCAATCGATGTTGTACAAGGTGCGATGACACAACCAGGCGATGAAGTGTCGAGAAACATGTTTACTAATAGAGAAATTGTGTTGTTTAGTGTAGTCTTAAAAGTATGCCAATAGTTACGAATGAGCTTATTCCATCATGCCTGATGCTTGTTTCAACATCCTTAGTTGTGGAACATCACATTTAACACGTCATATGGCAGTGTGGTTCTGCAGTATGCCTAATGTCAAGAAGCGGTGTTGGTAGTTTGTCAAAAGTCATGCTAAGACTGGTTTTCTTCAATCAAATCTTGTTCACGAGCACATTTTTTGCTGTGCCACCACGGCTAAAATTGAATTCGGTTACCCTTTTTGGCATTCTACCTCTCAATCATTTAATTATTTCTCCTGTGTTTATGTCATCTGTTAAGCAGAGAATGCCGCGACATACAATTTTTTTCACCGCAGGGTTCTTTGTTGACGTGCCATTCTCTGTGACTCAGTGGACGGCGGCGAGGTACTGGTTCATGGGCAGCGGGAGGGAAAAGGTTGTGCGCTGTTTGACGCACCCAAGGGATCGTCCCCAGACATTCAACCGCAGCCTTTAGCCCTGGTTTCTGTCACAGCTACCAAAATTAGCCATCCAAACGCATACATGTCTGTTGGGCATGAAGCCAACCATTAGAAAACGTAGCAGGTTTACAGTTTGCGGGTACAACAATATCGTGCTCATGCTCCTATAACTGTCCGGCGAACGCAGCGTGCGGACCTCATGCACCGATGAGGCTGCATGCTCATGTACACAGAGCGCTCCATCGTGCTCCTGTAACTGTCCAGCGAACGCAGCGTAGCGGACCTCATGCACCGATGAGGCTGCATTCTCATGTACACAGAGCGCTCTATCGCCAGTCTGTCTGCAAGCACGCTCGTCGACGCTATTAAAGGCATCGCGACGGCGGAAGCACGGCACACGCCGGGCACCTTCATCGGGCGCAGGCATGCTCCACCTGCTATCGCCTGGTTCGAACTTACCCCGTACCCCTGTAGCCCGACTGCTGTCTGAAACACCCTGACCCCAGTCGCCACGCGATCAGAAATCCCCTATCCGGTACCACATTGACGGCGTGAAATCATTTATCCGTTGCATGGCTGCATACATGTTTGATTGTATTTCTTCTAAAAGTCAAAACCAAAGTGCATATTGACGGCATGTGTTCTTGACAACGAGTTAATGTCAAAATGCACACGAGCTGAAATGGTTATTAGTGAACTTTTTTCAAGAATAATAATTAGCAGGAAGCCATATGTCGAAATGGGATTTAGGCAGATGGCTAATGACGAACGTAAAATCACGAAATGGGTAATTAATGGGGCTTTTCTTGTCGGAATGTGAGTTAAAAAGGCAATTAAACAAATTTGAAATCCCCAAATGAACAGTTAATGAATGCCTTGCTAACGAAGTGTGAATAAGACGAACGTCAGGTAGTCGAATGGTCAACAAGCCAATTTCTGTTAGTAAAAACGGACTTAGACGGTTAAGAACCATGTAAGGTGATAACGCTCGCAGACCGCAATAGTGGTTCACGAATTACGTGGCGCGTTGATAGAAAGGGGTCGGTACAATGCGCAGCCAACATGGTCAAGGACATGGGGTAATTCGGGTTGGATTGTCTTGTTTAGTTCTTGACGTAGCTGGACGGAGCAGCAGAACTATAGCCTTCAGGTATCTGGTCCTGACATAGCCCACTACAGACCTCATCTTTTGATATTCACTAGTGCCCATCTGGTAGAGATTTTGTGGAGCTATATGCCCCTGTTTTTAGTATTACAGTGGCATGCCTAGTAGTTGCGATGACAGAAGATGTCCATAAAATGCTAATTTGACCGCTACGGAATAGTCTGACCTGTCAAAAGTCACATTGACCGCTAAAAAGTCAGGCCTCGCTGACACAGCTTGATGGGATCTTTCTATTGATGTCTTTCTTAGGTTCTAGGTTTCATAGGTTCTAGCCTACTCGGTTTTTAAGATCCTATGGTGGGGGTGTGTGGTGAGGCCTCCCCTCGTAGGGAGGCCTCAGTAACTCAAAAACATGTCGGCTCTCTAACCTTCGAATAAAGAGAATTTCGGCAAATTAGCATTCGACTAAAGAAGACTTTTGAGATTTCGAACAGCGCGTAACTTTAAGCAGACCTTTGACAAAGAACATTCGAGATGAGATCAATTTCGGAAGTTGCCTTCTCCACTTGATAGCATTTCATCACTTTGACGCATGGGCAAAAAGCTATGCCGAGCACTCGCCGTCCGATTTTAAACGTTTCACCCCATTGACACGGCGGCAAAAGGGCACGTCGACAAATAGCATTTAGTTTAACGCTTTCGACAAAAGGCATTTGTCTTAATTCATTCCGCCTATTTCCACATATGTCGGATTGCACGTACACTACACGATGTGAAAGGGAGGCAAATGAAAATGCTGGTTTCTGGGTTTCTGGATGACAAAACGCCCTTTAAAAGTGTTTCTGCTCTATTGAAGTTGCATGTTGAGACGACTGCTACCGGCCAGTGGCACGTGGCGAGGTGCCAATGCGTTGTTCATTTTTGTAATGGTGGCCTTGCCGCAGGTGCGTCATCAATGTCATCCCATCTGTTACAGTGGACTTATCGGACGCCGAGGCCGACTGGAAGCTGCAGTTCTCCCACTGGAAGGACGAGTACATCGTCAACTGGCGCAACGAGTTTGACAACTACCAGCTGTTCATGCGGCGTCAGAACGAGCTGATGCGAGCGCACCAGGAGCGCTGTGTGCAGCCGGGCTTGTACGGACCCTCCTACGTGCCGCCCATGTTCCCGTGGGTACAAACGTAGCCGCCCGGCCGTCTCCGGCCGCGGCCTGGCCGGACGACCCGGCCGGCTCGTGGCCGCGGCGACGATGGTCCGGTCGGGTCTGGGCCAGGATAGCGCATCGATCGGGCCGGGCATTAAACACTCGCGGCCCCGGCCGGGTCGGATGGCGGGGATAAACAGCCGGGAGGCGGCCGGCGCCACTCCCCGGCAGAGAGGGCGCCGGACGGCGCGGCCGCCGCCAGTCAGCCAGGAGGCGCCGGCGCCACTCCCGGGAGAGAGCGGGAGGCAGCCGGCGCCACTCCCGGGAGAGAGGGCGCCGGACGGCGCGGCCGCCGCCAGTCAGTCGGGAGGCGGCCGGCGCCACTCCCCGGGAGAGAGCGGGAGGCAGCCGGCGCCACTCCCGGGAGAGAGAGCGCCGGACGGCGCGGCCGCCGCCAGTCAGCGCCAGCGCCGCCGCCGCCACGCGATGGCTGGGCGAACCTAACAAGCTCGGACGACGAAGAAAGGAGGTTGCCGCCGTCACTGCACGAAAGGGCACTCGGCGGGCGAGGAAAAGAGAGAGGGAGGGAGGGAGGGGGGGGGGGGGGACGGCAGCTGGCACGACGGCAGCAGTTCGTTAACATAACGTTTTTTTGCAATTTTTTTTGGATTGCAGGTTCATGCTCGATTTTTGGAAGCACAAAATTTTGTGCGGAAGAATATTTACATTGCAAGGCTTGCCTGCATGCCCATCGTCGGATCGGACTTGCCAGCGGTTACTGCGATCTTGTAGTTTTGTAATTGAAGTGAGTAATGAGTCAGGCCATTATCATGCTTGGTAATTGCCGTTATTTACACGATAACAATGGCATGACCCACAATGGTACATTCTGTGTTATGACATAACGACCGTTTGCTGCACGGGTAATCGATGTCTCATCCATACTGTTGTCGAGGGAAGACCGAGTCGGGCCAATGGGTCATGATAATGGTACCAAAACAAAATCCTGCAGGTAACCTGTTTACGCTCGAGGGTCCCCAACTAATGCCCTCTGATGCCTTAAGGAGTACGTTGGTTAATGAAGTATCAGTTCGAAATGTACCTGAAGGGACCTGCCATATCCAAGAAACGGGGACATTACCTATCGCTTGTCTCTTCCCGTTGGCATGCATCTCACGCGTGGGTCCAGATTGGCAAAGGTACGGGACGGCCTTTGTTGAAGACAGTGATAATGTTTTGTCCAACAGTCCGCCCATATCTAACGGTGAGAGAGATGACCTAGTTTGATACATACGAAGGCACTGCCGTGAGCGACAGTTGGTGGTCTCAAGCCTGACTGCAGGTATGGTGCGCCGGCGTTGCCTGTTTGTGCATGCGTATATACCTATATACAGTGGTGTTAGAAAATGTCCTCACTAACGGCCACAGCAGGCGAACAGGAAATACTCTTGCGGTTGTTGCCAGCACAAGAGTACTTCACAAACCTAGAACGTGTGTCCCGCCGAACCTGTACGGTGGACGGCGCCATGTTGGAATGGTGTCGTGCTGGGCGAAGCTTGTTTTCCTCTCGCCGAGCAGGAGCAGATCACAATTTCGTTATGATGGCTTAGAGTGAATTTCATGCCAACGTTGTGCATGGACAGAAAGCCAGAATGAAGAATCGTAAAAACTGGTAAATTAATAGCAAGTAATATTATATTTGCCGTACATTTGGTGGCAAAGTTCCGCGAATTTCTGCGTACGACATTTTGCTCACAAGGAATTATGACAGTTCTGTTCGGTGATGTTGAGAACGACCGGCAGTACTGATGCAGTGCCAGCGATAGAACAGATTAGAACGCAGCGCTTTGAACAGCACTTGCCAGGGGCGCAGCCAAGGGAGGGGCCCGCGGCGTCCACTCTCCCTCTTTAGGCTGGGCTTTGTCCTATTTCCCATACATAGTTCCCTACAAAAAGTTGAAAATTGGCGTGATGTGCACTCACCGAGCTCTGGGCCATTTCATTAGGAAAATCCTGGCTGCGCCCCGGGCGCTTCTCGCCGGGACGTCTGGGTGAAACTTTGAATTATTTTGGAGAGACCCCCCCCCCCTTTGCCAACTGCCTCTCAGCTTGTCAGCGTTTGCGTTTGATCAAATCATTTAAACTTCGTCATAAACACCGTTAAACTTCAGAACTTTAATCCACGCATTGGAAGAAATTCACTGGACGTCTATCTCCCCCACTCGACTGTACGAGATTGCAATGATGCTGAACGGACTGTCGTGTGTTTTGTAGCAAATAAATAATTTATCGTTACATTCGCATGTGGAAGAAAGCACTACCTGGGCTTACGGTTGAACAACAAGCTCCATTATCGGGACCGATAACCTTGGCTGTTGAAAGCGTATGAATAAGTCTGCCTTTAGACCGATGAGCGGGACTCCCCGCTGCAATAACCTCTGAATGCGGACATAATTTGGGCAGCACTCGGAGCCAGGCTCCTCAGACCCATTTCCGATTAGGTCGCCACTGGTTGTCGGAGCGAGGTATGTTTTGGTATCAGACTAGCATTGCATAGATTTCTCCACCGAAAGTTTTCTCTCTCGGCGTGAATGCCACCGACTGTCGCACAGTCACCACAGTTGACCGGCGTGAATGCCACCGACTGTCACACAGTCACCACAGTTGGCCGGCGTGGATGCCACTGACTGTCACACAGTCCACTTACCGCGTTGGCCGGCGAGGATGCCACCGACCGTCACACAGTCAGCACAGTTGGCCGGCGTGGATGCCACCAACCGTCACACAGTCAGCACAGTTGGCCGGCGTGGATGCCACCGACCGTCACACAGTCAGCACAGTTGGCCGGCGTGGATGCCACCGACCGTCACACAGTCAGCACAGTTGGCCGGCGTGGATGCCACCGACCGTCACACAGTCAGCACAGTTGACCGGCGTGGATGCCACCGACTGTCACACAGTCACCACAGTTGGCCGGCGTGGATGCCACCGACCGTCACGCAGTCAGCACAGTTGGCCGGCGTGGATGCCACCGACCGTCACACAGTCAGTACAGTTGGCCGGCGTGGATGCCACCGACCGTCACACAGTCAGCACAGTTGGCCGGCGTGGATGCCACCGACCGTCACACAGTCAGCACAGTTGGCCGGCGTGGATGCCACCGACCGTCACACAGTCAGCACAGTTGGCCGGCATGGATGCCACCGACTGTCACGCAGTCACCACAGTTGGCCGGCGTGGATGCCACCGACCGTCACACAGTCAGCACAGTTGGCCGGCGTGGATGCCACCGACCGTTACACAGTCACCACAGTTGGCTGGCGACGGCTGTCAGAGCCGGTGACGGAGCGAGCATACACAGCGTCATCGCATCCTGAAACACCCGCTAGGCAGCCCAGAATCACCCCAGCTGCCTTGAACCGCGTCCAGTCTGCCACACGTGGCATGCACGTGGCGCGCGGCGCGCGGTGCCGGCCTGCTGACCGCGAATAGCGCTCCGGTTCTGGTTCGGGGCAGCGCCCGCCGGGACGCTGGTGTCGCAGTAAGTGGTCGTTATGCAGTGTTGATAACCTCGAGAACACCTGTCTTTGAAAGAACGTGACAGCAGCGTTTTTGGTGTCTGAGTGTGGTTCGCAATCTGTGGTATGGAAAATAGGGACGCAGCCAAGATGGAGAGGCTCGGAGCTCGGTGAGCAGGCGTAGCGCCGATTTTTTACGTTCTGTCGAGAGTCATCCATGTTGAAAGATTAAAATGCGGGCCTGGGGGAAGGGGGCTCACTTGTATGCGTCCCCAGGTGGAAATAAGCAGTGTGCGCGCGTGCATGCTTCTCCGTGTTGCGGTGCCACCCGCAGAGCTCCCAAAGGCGTGGTGTGCAGAATTACTAAATCAAATCATAGATGCTCGCTCCGTATAACGTGAAAAATACATTGGGCTTGATTCAGCAGTACGGTAGAATTGGTAGCAATAAATGCAGTTGGCTCAATCAGAAAGTGTTAATGCGTGACACGCGCACGAAATTTTGAGACCTTTCGAGGAACTTGTGAAACTTGTGCCATAGTATTGATCACCAAAAAAGTAGCCGCCAGTGAATTATTTGTAGCATTGAAGGTCTCGCTTACTCACTCCGGCTGGTCACCAGAAGTGCAGCCAATGGTGCCCAGACCCGCTCATTGAAGGTCTCGCTTACTCACTCCGGCTGGTCACCAGAAGTGCAACCAATGGTGCCCAGACCCGCTCATTGAAGGTCTCGCTTACTCACTCCGGCTGGTCACCAGAAGTGCAGCCAATGGTGCCCAGACGCGCTCATTGAAGGTCTCGCTTACTCGCTCCGGCTGGTCACCAGAAGTGCAACCAATGGTGCCCAGACCCGCTCATTGAAGGTCTCGCTTACTCACTCCGGCTGGTCACCAGAAGTGTAGCCAATGGTGCCCAGACCCGCTCATTGAAGGTCTCGCTTACTCACTCCGACTGGTCACCAGAAGTGCAACCAATGGTGTCCAGACCCGCTCATTGAAGGTCTCGCTTACTCACTCCGACTGGTCACCAGAAGTGCAGCCAATGGTGTCCAGACCCGCTCATTGAAGGTCTCGCTTACTCGCTCCGGCTGGTCACCAGAAGTGCAGCCAATGGTGTCCAGACCCGCTCATTGAAGGTCTCGCTTACTCGCTCCGGCTGGTCACCAGAAGTGCAGCCAATGGTGTCCAGACCCGCTCATTGAAGGTCTCGCTTACTCACTCCGGCTGGTCACCAGAAGTGCAGCCAATGGTGTCCAGACCCGCTCATTGAAGGTCTCGCTTACTCGCTCCGGCTGGTCACCAGAAGTGCAGCCAATGGTGCCCAGACGCGCTCTAACGTTTTGTAGCCTTACATAGGCTGTCTGTACTCTGGACCGGGATTTGCGTACATCAACAGTTCTGGAACCCCATATAGTTATGCTGGCTGCGCACCTGCTAGTTGCGTCAGACAATTGTCTGGGAGAAACCATCGTTTTATCGTTGAGGTAAAGAAATATGTCTAGGGTAAGCCATTTGGGGCCCAGGCAAAGGTTTGCACAGGTTGTCCACACAGGCAACCCCTTATGCCGTTGGAAATGACGAACTGCAAACGATTGCTGCTGCATGATACATGGATGAACTAACCTGTCCCTAAATCCTGTCAGGTTCTGTGGAACCAGTTGGCATTGTTTGGCCTTTAGAACTGT